GTATTATATGTGAAATATCCGAATGATACAAATCTTTAAAAGATCAAAATCATCAAAGTATTCCCTACATAGGTAATATTAATTGGGCAATAATATTACATAGTAGGCATGTTGAATGCCTCCATAAAATATCATGTGATGGTATTGGTGTGGGTGATTATAAAAATTATATCACTAGGGCATTAGCATGGATACGCGGTTAGTGAACTGTTTATCGAATATGGCCATTTATGATGAATCACATGGACATTTAAAATGTAGTCAATGATTTATCATAAGATCGTACTAGGATATTATTAATCCTTAAACCTAAGATGTCACAGTTGGATTCTGCATAAACGCATATGATTCATATGGTCTATAAACATGAGGCTAATCATGTCATGTGTTAATAAGCTGATTTGGCTATGTGTTATTTATGTGTGAGGACAAGTGATAGTCAAGATGTGATCCGTTGACTTGGTATAGATTGATATCAAGTTCCTAGACAAATGTCAAGATATATTGGAAAAGGGAAATCTCCAACCGGGGTATATAAAATGTTACATGAAAGGTTGTTTCATGGTGACACGTTCCATATGTATTGAATTAAAATTAAGATAAGGATTTTGACATACCATGAATCCATTCTTAATTGGGATTAGACAACGGAAGGATTTGATTATACAACGTGTATGATTGTAAAATGTTTGTTGGAGTATATCTTCATTATGACTTAAGAGTTATGGAGCATTGCTAGATGCCTACCATAATCAGTGGGAGTTTTGTTCATAAAGAGTTATGACAAAACATATCGAAATAAATTGTGATATTAGGCCCACGGCTAGGCCACAGTGAACCTAAGAGGTCACACATAAAAACTAAGGAAAGTGAAAAAATAGCCAAGGAGAGTTGATTGTCCAAGGTTGGCTAGCACCTACCAAAGGTAATAAAGTTATTTATATTAATCATTTTCTTTATATTAAATTGGATTTTACAAGTGGTTGTAATTGTAAACAATTAAAGGTGAAATTGTTATGTAAACAATTTAAGAGTTAAATTGTTAATTGTGATTAAATGTTAATCTAATGTTATCATTTAAAGAAGTTTAACAACTTCATAACAATTATGGAATTGTTTAATGAAGTCCAAAACAATCATTAAATTGTTTACAAGGATTCCTATATAAAGAAAATGATATATCAATTTTTGTGTAGAGAGATCAAAATCTTTAAGAACCCTAAATCTTTCTCTTGGTCATATTTCTTCTTCCCTTAGTGTGGATACTCTTTTGCTTAATTTCTCTTGAAATTAAGAGGCTCCAAGGTTGCTAAGGGCTTAAGGTAACATGTTCTACCTTACGTATTTCAATTTGATTGAAATTTATTTTTTAAACTATGACTATACTTGTTATAGTATGATATGCTTAATTCTCCATGCATTTATCTTTCACCCCCCTGACTGTCAAAGAGGGTCGTGTCTGATGTATGGCGACACTTCACCAAATCAAAACGACCAAAGACAAATGGGGAGGGGGAAGAATCGTGTGGGGTATGTAATTTCTATGAAACCATTATTGGCGTTGAGAATGGGACTTCGACGATGCGACAACACTTGGAGAAGAAGCGCCACCAAATAATGCAGTTGTCCGGTACATCTTAAACCAGATCAGGTAGGCAAATTCAAACTCAACTTAATTTTAATCCACAATCCTCAACTCTCTCAACGTGGCAATACAATGCACATGTTGTACGAGAGGTAATAATAAGATTCATAGTTGTTACAGACTCTCCCATTTGTTTATCTGAAAATCCTTATTTTATTCACATGATTAAAACTATATTTTGTCCAGCATATACCCCTGTTAGTAGAAGTACAAGTAGAAGAGATATACTAAAACTTTATAACAAAATAAATAATAAACTTAAAAACGAATTTTAAAACTTTAGGAATATATCTATTGCACTTACATCAGACATACAGGCTTTAGATCAAAAACATATTTTTTATTTGTCACAATACATTTCTTAGATCATAGTTGGGTTTTACAACAAAAATTGATGGGTTTTAAACTATTATATGAAAAACATAGTGTTGACACTATTTATTTTACAATTCTTGAAGTTTTGCAAGAATATGTATTAACTGATAGAGTTGCAGGGCTCATGCTTGATAATGCAGCTGCTAACATCGCGACAATCTCTTTATTTGAAAAGAGATTGGATTGGCGTGGTGAAGGCAATTTTTTTCACCAGAGATGTGCTTGCTACATCCTCAATTTGATTGTTAAAGCAGATTTAGATGTTATATATTCGAAGATGGAGAGGATGCGCGCGGCTATCGGATTTATTGTCGGCGGTAGCAACAAAAGATGGCAGGAGTACGTCAAATATTGTAGGCAAGAGGATCCACCGGTTTGACCTTTGAAGTTATGTACGGACATGCCTATCCATTGGAACTCTACCTACTTGATGTTGGAAAAAGCTTTGCCAACTGCAAGACAAATTACAGATTTCGTCAACTGGAAAAACCATCCAGAGGAAGTTGTTAGCTATGATGATTGGACGGCTTGTAAACTTTTTTTTCATTTCTTAAAATTTTTTATGATTCCACTAATATATTAAGTGGTATTTATTATCCGACTACTAATTTAGCGTTAGATATTTTACTTCAAATTTTATAACTTTTGCTAAATATAGATATAATGACGTTTTAATGGAAATTGTTTTAAAGATGGAAGAAAAATACAAGAAATATTGGTTAGATATTTCATTCTTATATGAATTAGGCATTGTTGTAGATTCTAGGTTTAAATTACGCGCAGTTAAATGTATAATTACTGAGATAGGTCAACATTTAGGACATGATTATACGTCTTATTTGACTGACTTTAAGCAAAAATTAGAAATCATTTTTTCTTTATATCAGAACAGGTACAATGGAAGTGGAAGTGGAACGTGACATTTTATCTGTGCCGGTTTCTACAATTGCATCTAAGTCAACATTTTCAACAAATGGCCAGATTGCTAAAGATAGAAGATGCTCTTTAACTAATGAGATGATTGAAGTGATAACATGTTTACGAGATTGGACTCATGGAGAGAGAAGACTACAATAACACCCTAAAGATCCCGAACTACTTGGAACTCTTTAGAAACACAGATTTTAATGATTTAAATATTGTTGACGATGAATAATTTAATAAAAAATTATTTAATTATTTATTTGTGAAGCGCGAATACACTTAAGTTAAAATTAACCATTAATTAATTATTTTTTTATTATTTTTTTAAATTAATTACACTTTTAAAAACTTACTAATTTACCTCTGAAAATTACTAAACCCCCCTACAAAATTTCATTTCACCCCTAAAATATAAAAAAAGATAGGGGGAATAAAATTTAGCAGGCCTATAGGGCCGGTCCTAGTCCTAAAATTGCTCATGGGCCTGGGACCGGTCCTAGGCCCATGAGCGACTGGTCCCAAATGGGCCCAAGCCTGGGCCCATTTGGGACCGGTCCTTGACCAGCTCTAAAGTCAATGCAACGTTGATTTGATTTAAGTTTTCTGATCAAAATCATAAACATTTATATTATAATCTTTGAAAGCCAAAAATTAACAAAAATTTAAATTAAAAGAAGGTTTTGCTCAAAGTTTACTCAACACATTTACTCAAAATTTTGCTTCTCATAGATTTATTCAAGTAGGAAAGTATTGTGTTATTGCATTCTTTTCTCTCAGGTTTTTGATATTGTATTATTTTTTTTATTTAAGATTTAGTGATTTTTTATAGTTTTTACTAGTTGTTTGGCAAATAATGGCGAAGCCGCGAAGGCCCCCCTTGGCAAAAATCTTGGATCCACCACTGCTTAAACGGGTAATATGTTCAATCAAAATAACGATCGCAACCTTATAAAATTATTTTCTTAAGAAATCCAACCCCTTTTGGCATATTAATTTGTATTTAATTAAAAACCCCTCAATAATCTCTCATACATTAATATAATCTATTTACACTGACTTATAAATAGTAGTTCGTATTTTAAATATTTAGATAGACCACCAGTAACGGTATTGCATAAGCACTATTTTAAATCCTTTATATCTATTAATGTATATATATATTTTTGGTTTCTTTCGGAATATTTTCTTCTACATTAATTATTTATTGTTATTATTCACGACGCCACACTAACATGGAAAATAATAAATCCAGCCACTAAAATTATCTTGGTTTTGGAGCGGGAGGAAATTCCATATTCAAGAAAAGGATATTCTACATATCATCTGAAAAAATATTTAGGTTCTGGACAGGCAAATAAATTGTACAGGGCGGCATGCACTCATGACTAAACTTCCAAAGCTCTTTCCAGCTAGCTTTGCTAGAGGGATTTATTCCAAGAGAAAGATATTATATTTATAGACATATGCACAACTCATTAAAAGTTGCTCCTAAACTATATATATATATATATATTCCCATAAAGAGAGAACAAATAAAATAAATGTACTTGGCGAATCTACAATTAGTATAAATCCCAAATACATGTACTTAATTAAATAATATCTATTAAAATATATTCAAGAAGACTTCATGTTCCCCAACCTCAGTTTATACTCTTAATAGGGCCATCACTAAATTAAGTAAGCGAAATCAGGGAATGCTGTATGCATACATTTAATATTTATAATATAGGTTAATCAAGATCAAGTAAACAGGAAAAAAAAAAAAAAAAATTTAATTAATTAATTTACTTCACTCGAGCAAAAGCTTCATGATGCATTCAATCAATCAAGCCATGACTCAAAAGCTTTAGCCTAAGACGAAGAAGCTGCATAGGCTAAGCTTTAGAGAGATACATATATATAAACCTTAATTATCATAAATTACAAATAAAATTAACATTAATTCTCTACACAAACAGAGCCCTTATCTTAATTTCTAGTTGACGACTAATTTATTAATGGAGGCAGGACTAAATGTAAATGATCATGGGTTTGTATATGCTCCCTAAGTTTGTCAAACGCTCACTGTCTTGGCTGAGTTGCTACGTTCAAGCTTGAAACGTTCTTGAACAGAAGAGATGTAGCTTGCAGCTTTGTCATCGACCATTTCATCTCCAAATAGGTTATCAAAGTGGTTCACCTCACGATTGTTATCAGCTTGTACAATAAACGAAACCTTTGGCTGAGGCTGAGGCTGAGCAACTACATAGTCCTGATGATGGTGGACGACATAACCCACTGAAGCAGTCGCCGCCGATGGCTGGCTCGGCTTCATAACTTTGCTACTGTATTGTACGTTGGAGGAAGACCTCCCCACTCGGTATAGAGGCATCAGCTTCCCCTTAATGAACCCTCTGCGCTTGCGGTTTGACTCCATCTTAACCTGAATGTTTTTGTTTAGTCTAGTGTGTGTGTCAAATTGTGAGTATTTCAGTACAAGAGGGTGTCTATATATAATGGAGTTTTGGGATTATTTTGATCTTTATTGAAAGGGCCTACAGATAGGCAAGAATCTAAATAAGTTTGTGGTCCTTCGCACCCAGCTAGATATAGGGAAGGCATAATCAGTAATCTCCTTTAAAAATATATAATCTAGGATTCTCCACGTGTTAAAAAGATAAAATTAATTGCCTTTCTAATATATCCTACAGGAGCCAGTAGTTAAAGTATGTTGCGAAGTCTATGAAAACTGTATTGCCACAACCTCAAAATTGAAACTCTTTTGTTTATTTTATGCAAGGAAATGCCCATCGTTTATGCCTTTCAAGGAAATATTTAATATCTGAAAGACACAGGGACAATTTCAGTTTGGTAGCAGTGTGAATCCTACCAAGCAGAATATGTTAATTTTCTTAACAGTGGTAGATCCTACTAGTTAGTTAAGACTTCAAGATCATTAATGGACGTTAGTTATTTTTTTTTTTTTTTTTTTTTTCTTTTGGTTTAAGGCATGGTAATTGGCCACCCTTTAGCACAACTCTTACTCAAGATAACATGTAAGTTATGATCAATACTGTTTACAAGACTGCTTCTGTTCATGAGGTCCACATATATGTTCCTAAAATGTGCTCTCTATGAGGAATATTATGGTTCGTCGAGTGGTTATGTTGTACCTCAAGCTGTTTGCCATCATCAATCTTCCGAAATACAACTCAGAGATTTGCTTTTTCACTTTAATGCGAAATGGACTATAATAAGTACAGAGGACCACCAAACATATTTTGGCTAGACTGGAGAAAGGAGAAACAAAAGAATCATGTTCTAACTTATAGTTAATATTATTTATACTGATTTGTTTTTTATTGCTTGCTCTTTGAAGATAATGTATGAGATTACAATATGCCTCTTCAAAAAGATCAACTTGTAAATCATATATGACCAAATAGCAGTAAATGGAATACGTTCAACTATTTTGGATATAAATGGGTTTGCCAGTCAACCATGAGACGACGTGTCTAGCTTTTCTATATGCAAGAGATCAACCACTTGACCAATACTTTCTATCTGCTTTGTTGTATGATCAGTTGCCATGTGAAATTTAACATCTCAAATTGTTGAAATAGAAAGTAAAATAGATCCAGAAGGATAAGAACTGTTAAGTTGGAGGATAAGAACAGTGTCTTTTTCTACTCCTTCGATTTCACATATTTTTCCAAACAGAACAATACTTTTCATGTTCCAGGAATCCAGGTTACAACAACTCAGATTTAGTAAAGAGATTCATACATTCACCTTTATCTATTTTACACGCATGCATTATCATATCTTCTAATCCTTTACAACTTACAAGAATATATCATGGTATATTTAGCACCAAAGAAAGAAAACTAGATCATCTTAAATCTCTTCGTTCTTCCCTTTGATCTTTAAGTTGATTATAAAGAGGCAAATACAGTCGAGGATTCCACATAGTCTCTTTGTGCAAGTTGAGATGGTTTGCTTTACTCAGACATGTACTAGACAGCGAAAAGTTTCATGATATTCAAAAGTCTGACGATAAGATATTCTACCTGATTGATAAGTCGGTCACCACCCCATAGTTAACAAGTGGGAGTTTGTTGCGATGCTTCAATATATTCTTGAACCCTTTAGAGGGTTTTAATTTTATCGAAGATTTCAGGAAATTTAATGAAGCAAATTAGACCAACTTACCATTGTTATAAACTAAAAATTATATATCACATTAACGTGGTTTTGATGATTTTCTCGATGCCCTTTTGAAGAATTAATGAACGATTTCCATTAGAAATTTAATGTCGATAACTTGCGCACAAGACAGTTACTCCTTCATTTGATTTCACTCTCTTGCATTGTGCTTTTGATGTGTAAAGTGATGAAGAATATTTGCATATATGGACCAAAAGTGCACTCTCTTTTTAACCAAATTTTCTGGATTTGAAGTTTAAAATAATACAGAATATTTTGGTTTATGATGAAAGTTAAAAGAAAAGAAAGCAAACAGTTATTCTCTTCTCTTGAAATACTTGCATAAACGAGCAAATTCATAGCTGTTGTTGATGGGTCTTTATCTTTAATTTGGTTCCATTGACCCCACTGATGTCCCCATGATACTAACCTTCTTTACAACTTCTTCGCTTTGGGTTTATAAACATTTCTGTATCAATCGTGTAAAAGAAGAGACAATACAACCGTACACTGATCTGAGAATGAACTTGGTCTTGCTTTGATTAATTCTTTATTTCGTTGGTTGGTTGCCCATCTTTCTTTTTCTTACTTCCACAGAACAGACCAACCAGCCTCTCCAAGTATTAGGGGTAGGGAAAAAAAAAGACTGAAAACCGAATCAGAAAAGCTGACTCACACTGATTCGAAAATTTGGTTTTTTTGAAAATTGGTTTAGTTTTCAATTTAAAAAATTCATAAACCGATTATTAGGTTGGGTTTTCGGTTTACAGGTTTTTTTAAACTGGTTAATTGAAACCAGATTCAAAAACCGGTTCTTTTTTTTTTTTTAAAAAAACCTAATATAAATTATACTTAACTTCCTAGAGCCCACCGCCGCTACTACTTCTCTCTTTGAGTAATGGTATGGACACTGAAATTCTGTCCATTGTTTAATTTAAAAAATTTTACACCAACATTTGAGTCTCAATCCAAAAAATAAATGTCGTTATCTTTATTAAATTTTTGTCTACATTCAAAGTAATTGGACAAATTTTATTAAATTTTTGTCTATATTCAAAGTAATTGGATAAGTGTCATAAGAATATGACACTAACTCAATTAGGATTCACAATTAATGCATTAAATAAATTTAAAATTTAAAATTTGTTAATATTAAAAGATGGACGCTCGTCCACTTATGAGGACGACTGTCCATAACTATGGACAGTCGCCCTCATTAGAGGACGGGTGTCCATAAACAATTTAGGCAAATTTTTTTAGTTTAAACTATGAATGGATGTCCATTCTAGGTGGACAGCCGTCTATTTCAAATGAACGATTGTCCAATAATAATGGACAGTCGTCCATATTTGATAGATGGTCGTTCATTCGTGAAATATTTGTTAATGTGATACGTGGCTCGTCTGATTCAGTGGACACGTCATTCGGTGTAAAAATTCAATGAAAAACATCGGTGTCCGTAGCATTTTTCTTTCTCTTTATCTTCCTGTTTCATCATCTTCTGTCTTCTCCTCCACTTTTCTCTTTCATCTTCTTCTCTTTCATTTCTTCCTTGCACTTTTTCTTCATCTTTTTCTCCATCTCTTCTTAGTTTTCTCTTTCTTTTTCATCTTTTTCTCCCATCTTCTCAAGTTTATTTGAATTTGTGAAGATGTAAGAAATTTAGAGGACTTAATTTGACTTCTAAGGTGAAGAATAATAGTATGGGTACTAGGTAATTTATCACTTTTAGCCCTTCGAGTGTATTTAATATTTATTATTTATATCAAAACTTGCAAGTGTATATTTACATTTCTCCTACATTTGGCTCGAATTTGAGAGTAGAAGTTTTGGTGGCCAATGGCCAAACTTTTTGCAGTCGATAGTCATTCTGATTTTAAAAACAAGTTTAAATCCGATTAATTGGTGAACCATATATTTTGTTCGGTTCATAACTGGTTTAATCATATAACCGATTCGGTTTCGATTCTAGTTTTTATTTGAATCGAAAAACCGGTTCGGTTTATAAACTTCCTTATCTGGTTTGGTTAACCGAAATTTCCCATCCCTAGGCAATTATCCAAGGTAAAGCGAAGCTGTGTATATGTGCATCAATGAGCTGCATTCCATTTTCGTCGAATGTTCAGTAAATCAACCTAAATAATAAGTTAATAATATACTGTAGACTAAGTGGTGCAACGAATATTTTTTTAGTTTTAGGAATTAGATATTGTTTTTATATAATTATGAGTTTTTTTAAAGGATTTTATAACATATGATGATTTCTATTCACATTATTATTTTTTATTAGTTACCAAGCATATATAATTTCCAACTTTTATTGGCTAAACTTAATTTAATTAACATAAAGTCATTATCAATCTCTAATTTAAATGTAGAACTATAAGCTAAAGTTTAGAAACTTGTATTTAATTACCTACAATTATGCAACGTAATATTACATTTACTATATCTTATGGTAGTTGTAGGATGTGATATTGTGATGTATCAATATTGATGTGATTATTGAGGAAATAATATCACAGCAATTATAAAAAAATTGTAACAAGTGATATTAATATCCTATTATTAATTAATATGCTGTTACTACATCAAATTTCATGTATAGTTGAGAATTGAGATACTTTACAAGAGCCATTTACTGAATTTTGATTTGAATATTCTATTATCAGACGAAAGTTAGTAAAATCAATTGCAGCATATAATAGTGGAAGCGGCTTAATTTGGGCATTTGTTGTTTAGGCCCGCTTTTTTTTGGGCTTCAATTTAGAGCCTTAAATCTCGGATATTTCCCACGAGCCCACCAAAACTCTGGTATGTGGCCCATCTTTGTGCCTAACTAGTAACTGTCTACTACCGACCTCCGAAGTACGTCTGCTTCCTCGTCTTGTTTCATCGTCAACCGAGCCGAAAACCTTGGAGCTTATCCTTAAACAGACAAAAATAAAAAAGAAATTGTAACTAACCATGAGAGCTGAAGAAGAGCAGCATCAATTACGAGTATTCTACGAACTCTGCTCTTCTATAATTGAAATTCTCAAAGTCAAACCAATCCTAAGCACTTGCTTATCTTCTGGCCATGAACGTGATTTGCCCTCTTCTTCAAGACAGCCCATTTCCATATCAAGAGTCTCTCCCACTGCTTTTGCTTCGTTTCTTTTTGGAATCTCGCTCACTTTGATGCTATTTGGCTCTGTCACGTTTGTAGTTGGCTTTATTTTGATGCCTTGGGTTCTTTGTTCGGTTTTGCTGTTATATTTAAGTGGGTTTCTCTCTAATTTGTCTCAAC